TATTTGAAACTAAATGTCCAGAACTTGACCTGGGACATGGGCCCAGAGAGACATGGCAGACGGAGGCCTAATGTAAAGCTTCTGCTGGGAAATGTCATCGCTACTCACATTGTTTCAGCCAAAGTAAGTCCTGTGGCCAAGACAGCCCCTGTGGCCAACCCTCACTGGGGTAGGAAAGTGTAATTCTCCCACAGAGATGGAGGGCGGGTAGGAAGGAGCAAGTGTTTTTACAACTACGTGATCTACCACAAAGGGAAGAGAAAATGGCTGAGAAGTGTTTTCTTCCCTTCCGTGATGATGAAAGAAGTGATCCTAGGACAGAAAGCCACTCTTCCATGTCACCTTGCAGGTCTTAATATGGCCTTGCAACCCTCTCAGCCATGTCCCGAGACCTGTCCAACGCCCTAGCAGCCCCTGAACTCCAACACCAAGTCCAGTGTTGCCTCCCCGAACCCAGCCTGGGAGGCCTCTGGTTCACCTGCAAAATGGAGATAATCCTGCCCTCTTCCTGGGAAAACTTTTGAGAAATTAGGTAAAATGATGCATTTAAACATACAAGTGCATAAAGCACTTAGTAAACAGAAGACAGTATTATTCTTAAATTATGATACTTGTCTCCTAATCCATATCTTTCCCAAACTGTCTTTACATTTTACTCATAGTTTGTTTTTTTTTAATATTATTATTTTTTAAAATTTTATTTATTTGATAGAGATCACAAGTAAGCAGAGAGGCAGGCAGAGAGAGAGGAAGGAAGCAGGCTCCCAGCTGAGCAGAGAGCCTGATGCAGGGCTCCATCCCAGGACTCTGGGATCATGACCTGAACCGAAGGCAGAGGCTTTAACCCACTGAGCCACCCAGGTGCCCTCATAGTTTGTTAATAAGTATATAAAATAGATGAATTAAAGATGTTTCCTTTGCTTTTTAAAACCACAATTTCCTCTAATCTTACAGTTTCTTCTATACACACACTCTTTCCAGCTTCCATTAGTTATTCACTCCCCCAATTTGTTGATTTTTTAAGGCTTTCAAGAAGTTTTGGAAAGCAGAACTACTATCTATTATCTACAACTATTATCTAATTACCTATTATCTGTAGTATCTATTATCTATAGTAATTACTTCTTCCCCAGATAAGGGAACTTAAGGAAAACTGAAGATACTCAGAATCTTCGCTTGAACTAGACTATAGATTCCAATCTGGCTCCCAACTGAGAATGAATAAAGGGCTTGGCATAGGAGACCCCCATCTTCTACCTACAGCCCCAATTAGCGCTGCTTCTCCGCCCTGGAGAAGCAGAGTTCCAGCCTTTCCCCCAGACTGAGATCGTCCATTCCTACCTCTGCCTCTTTGCTCACACTCTTTCTTCTAGCTGGAATGTTCCCTTGGCACTGCCCCAACTCTGTTCAAAGATCCTGCCTGTAGAACTGGGGAGGTCACCACAATGCGCGCACAAAGACATCCACCACGGCGCGCTCTGCAAGAACGAGAAGCGGAGGACGAGCAAAATGCCCACTCCTGGGGAGCTGGTTGGATACACTCCAGGACATGTAACATGTGAAATGCTGTGTAACAGTAAGAAACGGGATGTCAGTATTTACTCATGTGGCATGGTTTCAGCATACTGTCAATCAAATCAGGTGTCAAAACAGTATTTATGACAAACAGTCCATTTTAGGAAGAAAAAAGTATGTAACTCACCCAGGCTGAGAAAGAGCATGGCCAAATACAAACAAACAAACAAACAAACAAATCCCCCCAAAACCCAGGTTAATATTGGTAACTCTAGGTAGTGATAACACTGGTGAATTTGTGTTCTTAATAATGTTCATATTTTTAAAGTTCTTTCCAATTAGTAGGGTTAACTTTTATAATTTTTAAAATAGGTATTTTGATTAAAAGGCACTAATCACTGAATACCCACTGCAAATGTCATCTGCTCCTGAAGGTCTCCTGGACCTCGCCACACCTACCACACAGGTAATTTCTCTCTCCTGGTGGTTTCCAGAACAGTTACTGTATCTCTAATGACATAATATATATATTTATATATATATATTATATAAATATATATATATTTCTGTGTTGGGGCCTGCGTCAGCTCCTGATATAGAATGAGTCTGTCTTATTTGTACTGGAATTTACCCTCGTAACCCCGAATGCCAAGTACCGAGCACACGACTGAGTGTGCTGATGGAACGCCATCCATGGCTGTGACATTCCCACGTCTCAGGACCACACACTTGACAGCTGTCTAATCAAACACTTGTCTACACTGGGGATGTCCCAAAACAGCAGCAGGTGCCTTCTGGGGAGAGAAATCATAAATCAGAATACTTTATGTGTGGTGAGGTTGTTTGGTCACTTATGTCTCCCAAGTCTGCTTTCACTGCAACCAAAGACACCCTCGTTCATCTTGATTGAGACACAGGTCAATATTTCTTAATCCGGAGGCAAGTGTCTCAGATTTCCATCCATCTGCTTCAGCGTGAAAGGGATAAGAATTGCTTTTGCAATAAACCAAGTCCGTCCCTGACTCCGTAGGAACTATAAATATCTATTGTTTTAGGAGGAAATAAGGGAACTAAATGTCTTAAGCTTATGTAAGTATGCTTCGGGGAATCGACACCACTAAATGTTTTGAAATATCCAAGGCATTTTTTTTTTTTTTTGGTTCAATAAAGAATGTGTTTAGAGAGCTAGGTGGGTGAGATTTAAAATAAAAACAACCACCACAATCTTAGCTGTTACTTAGCAATTTCAGGCTCCAATTGTTCCCTTCGAAAGGGCAAGCCAGCACGTGGAGGAAACACTGGGCTCTCAGGTCCAGCGTCCGTTCTGCCCTCCATCTCATTCCCCAAGACCTTCATGGAGCCAGCGTGAACTTGAAACCGCCCAGATACTGTCCTGCTTTTTTTCTCTCTCTGGAGACAAGTCACTTTCATTAAAACTTAATGTCTGAACAAAAGCAAAGCTACATGCCACCGTGGGTGAGGAGGAACGCTGGCTGCTGGTCCCCAAAGTGTCCCCACCTGACGCGACAAAGGTTCGAGGGAGTACAGCGAAGGGACAGCAGACACTCGGCAGGGGGCGGACAGCCAGACTATCTGCAGCCCAGCCCCTGCACAGCCAGCAGGGGCCCGGGGGCACACGGCCATCACAGAGCCGGGTTAACACACCCAAGAAAAGAGGTTGATGCTTGAAACTACTCTCAGGGCTTCTCAGTTCCAGAAGGCGGGCGAGCACGGCAACGGGAGCTACCCAGCACAGACGCAAAAGCAAACCTTGTTTTGACCAACCCAACCAATGTCGTATCACCAGGGCTGAGACAGATACCTGAAGAACAGTGGCTTCAAGATGCCTTTGCCACAGGAAGCCTATAACCAGTGCCGATTTACCAGCCTCCCCCCCACCCCCAGGGCAGACCGTCAGACCCCCGGGGATTCCAGCAAGCCAGGTGTTCGACACAGCTATCGTTAAAAGTCACAGTATATAAATACATGACTGAAATAAATTAGACTAAAAACAAAGAGAAGAAATACTCAAATTCACCGCTTCCTATTTTACTAGCGTTTATGCGCTTGACATTCCTTGCACTCCTGTGTGTGGGGCTCGTATGAAGCAGGCGCTGGGGTGCACCTGCCCAGCTTCTTGGCTCCGCTTGCGCTGGCCTTGCTGGGGGCGGGAAATCATCCAGGCTGGGAGTGTTCACGCCAGAGAAATCAGCAGGCGCTGGAACCTTGTCTTCCCTCTGTACCCCCTCCTTCTCCCCACCCACTTCTCTCCCTGTCCCCGCTCCCTGGCCAAATCTTTTAACATTTGTCTGCATGGCAGTGCCCGCAGTACTGACCCCCCACAGCCTGACGGAAGCTACGAAGGTCAAGTTGGTCTGTATCAGATTCGGGCTTGTAAACTACACATCATGATATAAATATAAGGAAGGAAAGCAACCACAGGCGACCCTTGAACCACACTGGGACACCCACTTCCCACTCAAAGATCTGTGTGTAACTTTGAACTCTCCAGAAACTTGACTCCTGATCGTGTACCGTGGACTAAAGCCTCACAGATGACATCGAGTCAATGTATGCAGACCTTGTACACTCTACGTATTATACACTGTATTTCACCACAAGGTAAGCTGGAGAAAATGTTTCAGAGGAATCCCAAGGAAGAAAAGATACATTTCAAGGACCAGATGATAAAAAGTCCACATCCAAGTGGACCTGTTCAAACCCGGACTGCATGAGGGTCAGCTGTCCTTTCATTGTGGCCCCAGAAGCACCAGTCAGAGCGCGGAGTATGACCCACGGTCTTCCTCTCATGGGAGGGACGACCGAGCCCCATGCACAGAGCTGGAGAGGCTGACAAACTACAACAGAAGTACGAAGGCAAGAATCAGGCCAGGGAATGTCTGACTCGGAAGTATACAATCTTTTCACGTGACAACCTCTCGTCCCAAAATTATCATCATCAAAACGAAACCGGAAGCAACCACATTTAACTGTCAAATCATCCGCAACCAGTTGTGGCCTCTGTTGTGTAAAAAATGAGACAGATACTCAAAGAGCGATGTGGGGAGGGAGCAAGGAGCTCAACTTTATTCATACTCGCCACATTTATTCATAGGGACTTCCAAAAACGTGCACACCCGAGGTCGGTAAGCCGTGCTGCTCACTGAACCAATGGGAATGAGAATGTCTATTTGCAAAGGGCTAGTCCCAAGTTAATATAAAAGGAGTCCTCCTTTGATCCATTAATTACTCATGCTCTGTCTGCCCAGCTGTGACACCCAACGTAAAAGGACACACCTACCAACACACAAAAACTGCGCAAATGTTAGCATCAATTTTTTGAAGTGTCTGGATATTTACTTTTTAAACATTTTCTCTTTCAGACTTTTAAGCTATCTGATCAAGCTACTCTTCCACCATTGTCTCTTAGAGACTGTTCACCAGTAAACCAAAGACTTCCAGAGGACTAACAAAATTTCACTTACTGATTATTTAAAACAATTCTTGTCATCTTGGCTTCTGAGAAGTTACCAGCTTCTCCCACTGCTCCAGCTCACTTCCATCACCTGTCACGAGGAGAAGGGGTCTGGTTAGTCACAGGTGTCCAAAAGACCACTTCTGGATTTCTACATTCGTCTTTTCCTTTCTTGATAACCAAAACAGAGAGAAAATAGTCATCTCCTCCTTTCTCTTCAAAATAAAAAAGGAAGGACAAGTAACAACAGAGAGCACCCCAAGAGAAAAAGAGATTTAAAGAGCAGTGTTTCAATGGCTGAGGCTTGGGGCGGACACCCCCTCTAGTGCCCTGCCTTATGTTTTTGGGAAGAGATTTTGGTCTGTTTGCTGGGAGGAAGCAGTATCAGACTAAGCCAGTTTTGTCTCTCCCTGCCCCAGCCCCTCCTTGCCCTCTTCTGGACAGATCTGCCTGGGAGTGTGTGAGGAGGTATTGACTTAGGGCTCAGCCCTACCAAGCGGGGAAGCCCGGCTCTCTCCAGCTCTCCACAAGCCCAGATGCTACCAGAAGACCAGCAGGTAACAGCTGCTGGAGTCAACGCACATTTTAGATTCAGAGATGCTGGTAAGGTCTCCAATCCCACTTTACCAGTAATTAAGTGACCATCTATACTGATTCCTCTTATCCTTGGCTCTATTTTCCATGTTGATTAAAACTTACAGAATAGGAAAGATCAATCATTAGGGAACCCAACCCACCCACATCAACAGAAGGACACCACACAGACAAACCTTGGTTCCAAGTCCTACCACTCACTAGCCATGCGACCTTGGCAAAAAGTCTGTTCATCTCTTCCCAGCCTCAATTTCTACTTTTCTGAAAGATACTCCCCACTATACTGTGTGGTTCAGAGAATTAAATGAGACGAAGGAGAAAATCTGCCACGTCAAGCATGCTCTGATCCAACAAGGGTATATCCCAGAACCAGGGACACCTGTGGTCAATGATCAGCCCTAGTAACTCATCCCTAAGTCCAGTTCAATACTGGAGATTCATATACTCCATGGAGTAATGTTTTATGCCTAGCAAAGGGCCTTCCTTCTTCCAAGAGCAAGGCATCCTGAACAAAAGCTTTACTTTTGTTTTTTAATTTCCTAACATTTTAGGGCCCACAACCTAGGGACAAGAAGTTCTGCTTTCTTTACCTTCACAGAAAAGCCCCAAATGAAAACACCCCACTTCTACCAGGTATGATGCAACCACTGCTCATTTTCTAGGAAAAATATATGGCTCCAAGGGGGTCAGACTTACAAGACAGGCACCTGCTACTCTTCCTCACCTGAAGCCTCTCTGTTGTCATTCCGAGAAAAGAGATTCGTATTAATTATAAAAAGAGACTCTGTCACCTCAGTTATAGAATAGACAAGAAGTCTTCCAAACCTGTAGGGTGTGTGTATGTGTATGTGTGTGTGTGTGTGTGTGTGTGTATGTTGGGGGAGAAGGGAGGGAGAGTCAGGGGGCCACAGATAAAGGAGAAAATGGAACAAACGCCACATAAACCCTAGTAACAAGGAAAGAACTTACCAACATCAATAAGTTAGGAGTGTAGGATTCAAAGTCAGGGACATAAGAGACTGAACCCAACACCAAGAGGAAGGAGCCCCATGCTCACCGGCCGGCAAGAGCTTTCTAGGCTGGTCACTCGGTGTGGGAGACTTTCAAAACCATGGACAGTGGAGAAGGATCTGACTCGGGCTGGACAGACAGGCCCCGCGGAGTGGCTGTCCGTTACTGAATCCTTCCAAAACTCAGTTTCCAGGCCTGGAAGAGAAGGACAGAGACATACTGTGGAGAGAAGTTCTGGAGACTGGAGAACACACACATACAGGGCCCACCATGAGTGCTTACGAGTGCAGGTATAGGAGTCTTTTAAAGTCACGGCCTCGATTGCAATTCTCGCCTACATCCATCCCATTCAGACTCTTTCCCTGTGTGAACACTGGAGAGGTCAAGTCAGACTTCTGACAAGAACGTCAGACTTTCCCAAGTTGTTTGGCGCAGAGCTCCAATAACAGTGCCCGTCCTAGCGGACAGCCTTTCCTAACGTGCACGCGGAAACCTCTAGCTGTGCCCTGGGGACTGTTCTGCAGAGTGGCTCTGTGTTTCTTTTCTTGATGATAAATTCTTGAAACAAGGAATGAATCACTTCCATCAGTGCTAATTCTCCTGGGGTGCAACGCCAAGTGCTCCGCGGGCATCTGTGGGGAAGAACAGCCATGCTGACAGCAGCAGGCAGCCTCTCGCCACAGCTAGCTTCCCACCACAGCCTTGTCAACAACAGCATGGACTTGTCAGTGAGGCTTTCAAGAAAGAGAAAAAAAAGACCCACAAGAGATGCAGCAGCAACTTTTTTTCTAAAAGATTTTACCTATTCATTTGACAGACAGAGACACAGCGAGAGAGGGAACACAAGCAGGGGGAGTGGGAGAGGGCGAAGCAGGCTTCCTGTGGATCAGGGAGCCTGATGCCATGCTCGAGCCCAGGACCCTGGGATCATGACCTGAGCCGAGGCAGACGCTTAACCGACTGAACCACCCAGGCGCCCCAGTAACAGCAACTTTTAAACAGAACTTTGTATCTGAATAAAAGGGCTCCTTGAGCCCTCCTACATCATCGTCTTTGGGACTCACTCTGATGATGCCATCTGAGTGGCACAAGCTGAGCCGTTTGCTTTCACCTTCAAAACCAGCAGACAATGCCCACAAGAAGATCTGTCTCGTTACAACTAGTACAACTACAACTAGTCCTGATCTTTTTAACAAGACCCACATTGTTTGCTTTGATGGAAAATATTTTAATAGGTTCGCAGAGTCAAGTTCCTCCTCCAAGCTGGTAATGTGCCACCACTACGGTCATTCAAAAGAATAAGCAACTTCAACAAGTGGCGTGAATGAACTCTCCGTCTGGCCACACGCGCTGTGCCAGGAACTGGGGGTGGGGAAGGGGCTGGGAGGAGGCAGAGGGGAAGGGCATTCACGAGAACGCAGTGCGGTGGTAGCATCGCGAGAATACAAGCATCCGACATAGCTGATGTGCTTGAAGAGCACAGTCTGGACGTGAACTCCTGGCTGAGGCCGCCAGCAGCCCCATTCTTCCTAATCCCGCAGCTTACAGATTCCACAACAGTCATGCAGAAACCTGCCTGAAAGGAACGCACTCCTGTTCTGTTCGCTTCAGACTTATTTATTGGAGGGAGTGTGCGCGAGCAGGGGGAGGGACACAGGCAGAGGGAGACAAGGTCCCAAGTAGACTCTCCGCTGACTGTGGAACCTGACGCGGGGCTCCATCTCGTGACCTGAGACCATGACCTGAGCCAAGCCAAGAGTCAGATGCTTAACCGACTGAGCCACCCGGCGCCCCAAGCTCCTGTTTTGAATGGACACCCTGTCCTCTAGGGCAAGGCCACACCTGTCCCCGAAGAGAAGAGTCTCGTGGGCACACAACCCAAAAGCACGTGTCTGCCGAGACACCTGCAGACAGCACTTGCCGAAGGCTGCGGAAGTGCAGAAAAGCACTTGTGTCCTAAGATGTGTCATTTTGGATGCTCAGACTCTGCTCTCCTGGGGAGCTGGTGCACTACAAGGGGTCTGAGCCTGCTCTGTGGGGGACAGTGTCCTATGGTCATTAAGAGCATGTGCTCCGTGGTCACCTAGAACAATGCCCCCTCGTCTGCCTGGAAGACCTTGCCCAAGGTGTTAATTTCTATAGGCCTGAGCATGGCAGTCATGGCCGTCCCACAGCCCGGGATCGTGAGAGCGGCTGAAGGACACCACGCCTACAAACGGTTTTGTAAAACTCACGGCAAACAGAAGCTGTACACGGTCTTCATCCTGAGGAGGCAAAGCAGGTGTCAGGGCAATGACACCAGAAAAGGGAGGTGCCCTCGTAGGCGCCAATATGCTCCCGCCATTCTTACCGGGAGGCCAGAGAAAGACCTGAAGAAACACTTCATTTTGTGACAGGGCACAAAGCGCTCCGATTATCAGTGCATATCCATCTTGGGAGCAAAGTGGGGGCAGCAGCTGCCATCAGAGGTGTGCTGGCCAGTAGACAACTCAGACTGGTTAATACCTGTCCCAAAGCAAGTGCGATCGCGCGCTGAGACTGCTCAGCTAATAAGCGGCAGAGCTGGGATTCGAACCCAGGCCATCTGGCTTTGCTCCGGTTCTTAACCATCGCACCACACCGTCTCCTCAGGGACGACGAAGAGCAGTACTTGCAGACTAAGACAGAGCCCAGGAGCAGGCCGGAAACAGGGCAAAAAAACACCCCAGAGATGACTGGAGAGATAATGATACCACAGATCAGTTCATGGGGCCAAAGCGTGAAGGGACCCAAGCCACTAGCGATTCTAAACTACAATCTAAAGCACAGTCATCGTGAGAACCCGTAAGAGGATGACACTGGGAAAGTGAACTCACTCTGGAGGTCAGCACTTGTTTAAAGACAGCACTGATCACAAAACACCGAAGCTGAAAAGACCCCACTCGGGCACTTTATAGAGAGCATATCATGACCTAGAAACACCGGCTAGGGAATGTGTCACACATTCAAGTTACCAGCCAGCCAGGCAGGATGCTGACAGCCTGGGAGCTGCTCACCAAGGCAGAGCCTCCTGCTACCTTTCCCTTCTGTTTCTACAGCAGAAGAGAGGAGGAAATGCCACCCAGTTACTGAATTCTCTGCAGGCTGGAGGAAGAAAGAAGGGACAAGAAACAGGCTCCTGGTGAAGACAGAAAATGCACAGACAGGTCAGCGGGGCAGAGAGAATCCATGCTCCCAGCCAGCCTCAAGTGTGGTCAACTCTAAAACAGCCCCATGATCCCTGTCGCTCCTCACCCGCGCCTCTGTCACACCCTCCCCTTGAGCAGGGTAGGGCCTGAGACTCTATTGTAACCAGTGGAATAAACAAAAATGGTGGGATACATTTGGTTACCTCACATACCTAAGGCTGTCATGTCCATCCTGCTACAAGGTTCCCTCCCTTGCTGGCTCAGAAAAAGAGTCATGTAACGGCAGCCTCCAGCTCATGGTTAACACGAAACAGAGGCCCTCGGTCTAGAGTCCACAAGAAACTGCCAACAATCACGTAAGCTTAGAAGCAAACCCTTCCCTAGTCAAGCCTCAGATAACACAGCAGCCCTGGCTACCATCTTCACTGCAACCTTCAACTTGCACCCAGCTGAACCACAACCAGACCTCTGACTCCTGGAACCATGAGATAGTAGATGTCCTGATTAAGCCACTCTGTTTGGAGTGTCTGTGTTCTGTGGCTACAGAAGGGAACTGTAGTGTGAGTCCCTGATGCTTCCAAGGGAGGCTGGGGGCCAAGGCCTGGGAGAGGCAGCCCGTCCACTGGGGTGTCTCCTCGCAAAAGCCACTGTCTGCCTCGGATCCTCCTTCTCCTCCCTCACATCATGAGGTAAGAGGTTACCCCGTGCCTGCCATCTATAGGACATAACAGAACATGTTTACCAAGGAAATAACGGTCTTACAAATGGTGATCTGGTCACCCAGACACCCTGCAAAACCACTGAGCATGCCGAACACTGAGAACAGCCAGATGATTTCAGCTGTCACAGGGGCTGTGCAAGGATCCTATCCCTCATAAAACACCTGTAACAAAACAGTATTTTAAAGATGATGTAACACACTGAAACACATCATAAAACTCATGTTCAGACAGACAAGCTGGAGACTTTCTGTATCAGTGGTTTTGAGAACAGAAGAGAAATGAAAACAGAAGAGAAGAGAATCCAGAGTTCCATCTCTTTTGCTAATATGGACTCTTTAAATCTAAATCTAAACATCCTTGTTCTTGTTTCATTTTTGTTTTTTTAAAGATTTTACTTATTCATTTGAGAGTGAGTGAGTGAGAGAGAAGGAGCTCACATGAGCAGGGGAGAGGGAGAAGCAGACTCCCTGCTGGGCAGGGAGCCCAAAGTGGGGCTCGATCCCGGGCCCCCAGGATCATGACCTGAGCTGAAAGTAGATGTTTAACTGAGACCCCCCAGGCGCTCCCCAAATATAAATATTCTTGAACCTTCTGAGCAAGTGCCAACAGCTTTTACAAACTAACTCAAGTAACAGTTCTCAAGCAGGGCACACAGCTAAGACAAACTCGGTGAGCCAGAGACCTCTTACCTCAATAGGCCATCCTGCTACCAGCAGAAATGCGTGGGGAGGTCTACAATGGTATCATCTGAGAGCTGGGAAATCCTCATGAATCTTCAAGTCCTACCCTCTCAGCGACAGGTGCTGACACACAGACCCAGACTGTAAGTTACCTACCGATTCAGGGTCACTCAGAAGCCCAACCTGGACCCCCTTTGTCCCAGGCTTCTTTATACCTAAGTCCACACAACTTTTGCCTCGAGTCAGAACTAATGAAGTCAGTGGTATCAGATATTCTACAAGGACAAAAATACGAATGAACTTTCCACAACACTATAAAGCCCCTGCTTATAAAAAGCAAGCTGTGTGGGGCGCCTGGGTGGCTCAGTGGGTTGGGCCGCTGCCTTCGGCTCAGGTCATGATCTCAGGGTCCTGGGATCGAGCCCCGCATCGGGCTCTCTGCTCAGTAGGGAGCCTGCTTCCTCCTCTCTCTCTGCCTGCCTCTCTGCCTGCTTGTGATCTCTCTCTCTGTCAAATAAAAAAAAAAAATCTTTAAAAAAAAAAAAAAAAAAAAGCAAGCTGTGGGGCAAGAGAAAAAAATGACATTGAATATTAGAAGTTCAATTCCTTTTCAAAAGCAATGCATA